TTTGCCAGTATTTCAGATAATGAAATAAAAGTTGGTGCTGTGATTGATTGTTTTTTTACTAATTGCAGTAACAGTTAGAAATTGATTCTTGCTATGAGAACTTATAGGAAATTAATGGCTGGTCTTGTAGTCACCAGTTTCTGGATAAATATTAATGAATTTGCACATGTAATGGAACAGATTTTGGGGAATGAAGAACCTAGTAAACACTGGTTTCATATAGGTCATAGGGCTTAGAAACTCTATATTTTGCACTCATGTGTGTTCATCTTAATACTCTATTGTAGGTGTTTAACTAGGGATTCTGCTTGGAATGTAATAATTTTGAAGCGGGCTTAATTTAGAAACCTACAAACAATATATTTACTGTCAGGCAAAATTATCAAGATTCTGCTTCCTTTAATTGGGAGTCTTTTGAAGTTGATATTATAAAAAATATATAGCATTTATTTTGGCAGTAAAAAGGGAAAAGGAAATAATGATTCTCGTTTCTACCAGGCTTAGATCTTGTATGCAAGGATGATGGTTTTGGGCAGATACCCTTGTTTTGAGTAGGGGCAGAATGATAAGAGTCCTTTGTAAGCTATTTGAGATCAACTGATTAAGAAGCTTGACATGGCTCCTTTGTTTAATAAATGAACTGAGCTATATATTAATAGAATTCCCTTGAAAGCTGTTGTCCTAAGAAGTTTTATGTAAACAATCTTGGTTTTGGTTCAAATTCAAGCCTGGGCTTGTTTATGTTATTTTTTAAATAAAATTTCAAGTTCTACAATGTTTATTTCTTGCTAAGCTTGAGCTTGCAAAATACCAGATTGAGCTTGAGCTTGGAATTCTTAAACAATCCAAGTTTGAGCTTGAAGTATTCTTCTTAGGGCATTGTGTGTTCCTTGGTTCAAGGTATATGGATTTTAAGTGGCCTTCCAACCAATTCATGTGAAGTTGAGTAGTGGAATGGGAGGAAAATTGTAAAATCAGGAAATGGAGCTAATGAAACTCTAATATGGTAGGTTATTGATATTATTGCTGACAGATACAGAATGCCCCTTTGTGGTTCATCTTGTTGAGAATAAGATATCTAGGAAGCCACTATTGATTTTGATTCTTATTTTTGAACCAAGAACCCTGTATATATGAGCACTAAGTACATATCGGTTTAAGCTGTCTCACTTCCCTCATAAGTTGTACTGAGTTTTTATAGGACTAACTTCAATCCTTTGGTTTATGAGCTCTTTTTTTCTCTTCTAATGAATTAAGGCTTGGACACTTATGTCTTTCTTTTTTTTATCAATAGATCTTCAAGAGAACCCAATGATCAATCAATCATTAATTTACATGTATTAGAATTTACCATGTTCCTGATATATGATGTGTAATTTTTTATTTATGCAGCCAAAAGATGAGGGTATTGATGTCAAAAGGGATGACCTCTCAAAAGCTTTAATGGTATGAAGTGTTTTCCTATTCTTTGGAACTTCATTGCCTTTCTACCTTTTATTTTATTTTATTTTATTTTATTTTTTTGACTTCCTGTTTCACCAACTTTATTCATGTCTTGGTCTCTAATACCATGAATGCCTTTGGATGCAATCATGCAAATTAAACATCTCTAATTATTTTTATGGAGGAAGGTTTTTGATGCAGTTAAGAAAGAATCTTTGGAAGAATTATTTATATAATATAATTGTGCATTTCTGATTATTTATTGGTTAATTTGCATTTTCATTGTAATTCTAGGAGATCTGGGGTGATATATTATTTAGGTTATTAGTTTCTTATTCTGTTTGGATTAATCATCTGTTTTACTTAGTCTTATTACGGTTTTAGAGTCTATTGTAAATTCTATATGCTTAGTTTGAGGTTTGTTCTGAATTGAATAATTGATTCAGTCCTTGTAGTTGTTGGCGTGTTGTAAGTAATCATGTTCCACCAACAGGAGTTTAGCTGCTTGATAAGCCTAGACTGCACTTTTTTTAAATGGAAGTTAGTCCAGACAGAAAAACACATTTTTGAAATTTTATTTTATACATGGTTACAATGAGCTTCTTTAACCAATGGAAAAAAGAAACCTGTAATGAAATTAAATACTTGTAGTCGTTGAACTGTTGCAAGTAATCATTTTCCCCCAACAAGAGCTTAGCTGCTTGAAATCAACTGCCATTAAAACCTTAATTCTAGAATTAAGGTTAGGGGTTCAAACATCAGTAGTACTAAGCACTAACATTGCTGATAAAAGAAGGTTCCAGGAGTGGAGCTAGATGTATGGATCTACTACATTTATCTTTTTTCATTTTTTTCTTCTTTTTCCAGTTCCTTGCTTCTCCACTAGTTTCTGTGCAATATAAGGAGCCTACGAATTTGATATAATTCTTGTTTGAAAGTTTTATGACATGATATTGTTGGATTGGCTAGAATTTGGGCATATGACCCTCGTCCTATGAGGGATGCAAACCTCTTGAACCCCTTTTTTCACACACACATGCATACAATCACATATTATAATGTGACATTTGGTTACACAACCATTCTGAACCTTTTTTTTTCACTTGCAGCTTGCATTTTCTTCCACACCTGTCTTTGAACCATTTGCCATCCCATTACTCCTTGAAAAACTTTCTTCTTCACTGCCATCAGCAAAGGTTAGTGCTAGCCTTATGGTTCTTTTTATCTGCACCTAGCTACAAGGCTGTGATCTGCTTTTATGTTATAGGGATGCCAAATATGTTGAATTCTAAGTGTGTATGCATGCAGGTTGATTCTTTGAAGTATCTCAGTGATTGCGTGGTAAAGTATGGCGCAGAAAGAATTGCAAAGCATGGTGGAGCTATTTGGTCCACATTAAAAGATACACTATACACTTCAGATGAGAATGTATTCTCCTTTGGTCCAGTATCACTTCAAGGGCTAGGCTGTCAGGAGAATGAAATTGCAATAGAAGCTCTAGGGCTTCTGCAAAAGCTCATTGTGCAAAACCATACCTTGTTCTTTGGTCTAATTGTTGCTGATGAAGACATAAATAAAGTCTTCAAAACCATTGCTAGTTATAAGAATTACAATGAAATTCCTACAGAAACCAGGCGGAAATTATATGCAGTTGGTCGTATCCTTTATGTTTCTGCAAAGGCTTCAACTATCACCTGTAATAGAGTTTTTGAAATTTTCTTGCCCCGTTTGATTGGTAGTTTAGGGATTTCAGTAAGAGACTCTTCTGAACAATGCTCTCTAAGTGAAATTGATATGATGTCCAAAGGATGTAATCATGGAGCTCTTTATCTCTGCATTGAGCTCCTTCAAGCATGCAAAGATTTGATTGGGAGTTCTGAGGAACTTGCAGCATCTGTCAGTACAAAAGAGACATGTTGCTGCTTACTTCAGAGCTTTTCTTCTTCATTAACTGAGGTCTTCAGTTCTATCTCCACAAGTACAAACGAAGGCACTCATGATGCAGATATCTATCTTGGAGGTGACTGCTTCTGTTTGTTAATTTAGTAGATATCTATTATCCATTTATACTTAACATTATTTTGTTTGGGAAGATAATGCTTGACATGCCACAACCTTCTCTTTTTCTTTGTGCTTGTATGCATTTATTCATCCACATATTTCCACTATTATTGCACATTATGGGTGTTCTTTTTTGATTGAACACAAGTCAAATTGATGTGTATTACCTGCTACTTGTTTGAGAGAAGAACTCTGTATCTGGATCTGCACACGGTTCAAACTTTTTCATATTCTCTAAATTTTTTGTAGAGATTTCATTTTGTAGGTTATTGGGATTTACCTTCTTCCCCATCCTTTTCTAAGAACCAAGGGGATATGGGAGAGCCTTGTTGTTTGGAATCTGGATTAACCTTAACTCACTCAAGTTACCTTCATTGTATTGTCTTAAGCTTAGGATTGGTCATGAATGTGTTCATGCTATATGGATAATTTTGTACACTCCAATTCTCAATCTACTTGTCCTTTTCTTCTCTACCACCCCCTCCTCTAGTGTAAGGAATGAAAGCCACTAGACCTAATCTATGATATCAAATTGAACTTGCAATATGTTTTGAAATGTTTACCTATAATGTCCTGAACTTGGTGGCCAAAGAAATGTCATTAACTCAACTGTCTTCTATGCAACTATAATGCATTTCTTTTCTTCAAACAATTTTCAGCATGTAATATCATGAAACAGAAAGATATTATTATCATTTTTTTGGCAATCAGTTACGTAAATCTTCCTGGTTAGGGTTCCCTAGCCTTTGCTCTTTTTACTTCCTCTTAAGATTCAGGCAGTTGTTGATTTGTTTTATTATTTTTCCTTTGGATTAAATTTACAGTGAAGGGATTGCAGATACTGGCTACCTTCCCTGGAGGCTATTTTCCTGTAGCATTATCTGTTTTTGAGAAGATATTACAGACATTCGTATCAATCATCATCACATACTGGAGCAAGACATTACAGTGGAAACTGGCACTGAAGGCACTGGTAGATATTGGTTTATTTATAGAAAGGTTTCATGAGACTGAGAAGAGAGAAAGCTATATGGGGATTGTTGTCGAAAGAGCATTGGCATCTCTGAATGATTTTGGCATGCCATTTTCACTCAAACTGGAAGCAGTTTCAGACATTGGAACAAGTGGGCAAAATTACATGCTGAAAATTGTTCAGGGTTTGGAAGAAGCTATTTGTGCCAATCTGTCTGATGTTTATGTATGTATAGCCAATTAATCCTCTATTTAGCAGAAAGTTGAGCTATTACTAGGGAAGATCATGAAGTGTGCTCATAAAAGGGCTAATTTGTTGTCTTGTTTTAGTTCTGCTCTTTTCCAATTTTAAATCAATTTCTATTGATATAATAGTAAATAATGTTGCATTTTGTTTGCTCAGGTCCATGGAAAATCAAGTTCAGCAGATATTGCAGCTCAGCTTTTGCAGTGCTACTCTGACAAGGTGGTTCCATGGTATAAAACTCCACCCTGAAAGTTAGTTCCTAACCCCCCCCAAAAAAAAAAAAAGAAAAAGTCATTGTCACAACACTTGCTGATGTTCTAACCTCTCTTTTAACTGTGTAATCTTTCTATTGTACTGAATCAAATCTCCAAATTAAAATCTACAAAACATCTTTCATAAATGAGAGAAATGGTTTGTGCCCTTTAGGAAAACAGTCACAAGTTGTACCAACACTTTTAGTCTTTAGGTCTATTCTTCTTTTCATCTAAAAAGAAATGTTGTCTGGGTTAAGGTACTCTGTTTCTTTATGTTTTATGTTTTGGGTTTGAGGGTTGGAATAGAATACAAAATGATTGTTGCAGCATCTGGTATGCAGCATGTATACACCTAACCTCCTATAGACATTTCAGACTATTCATAGGGTACCCAAATTCACTGCAAACTAGTAGAGTAGTTCCAATACCAGGAAAATCCCCCACCAGTTGCCATCCCTAGAGAGGATAGGTTATGTTTTCTTGTTTTATGGCCATGATATTTGTGTGGCTATATTTGTCTCCACTCTTGCTTTGTCATTCCTTGTTACGTCTTCTTTTCTACATCTGATAGGAAACAATTGTTGGCTTGGCCCCAGGATACATGGTACAGGAGGTTTTGAAGAAATCCTATTGCGTTTTACTTTTAACATTTGGAGCCAAATTGAGAATACCATGGCTTTTAATGTTCAGATTGAACAAAAAGTAAGTTCTTTTAATTTTTCTTTGTAACACAAATCTACAACAACAATTTGCTGATATTCATTTTTTCTATCTAAGGGACTTCTTGATGTGATGATGAAAGCAATGAAGCTGGCTGTTGCAAGTTGTTCAGAGGAAAGTCAGAACAAAATAATTCAAAAGGGGTTCATTGTGCTCTCATCATGCACTTCTTTTCCACTGAAGGAGCCATTTCAACAGAAAGCCATCCAACTTATAAAAGATGATGATAATATTTCCAGCAGAGATGAATGGATTCTTTCACTATTTGCCTCCGTGATTATTTCAGTTCATCCTCTAGCACAGAATCCAAATTTAAAAGCAATTTTGTATCTGTTTATGACAACCCACCTCAAAGGTTCTGTTCCTTCAGCTCAGGCATTGGGCTCTTTGGTTAATAAACTGGGTCAAAGATCTAATGCAGTACAAATATCAAGTGATTATACCTTGGAAGAAGTGATTGATATAATTTTTAACTCAACTTTATGGAGTTTCCATGACAATTGTTCTTTGGGGACAGATGATGAATTGATCAATGGCAATAAAATAGGTCTAATTGATTTATGTCATGGTGCTGTGAGCAGTACACTTCAAATCCAGGCCATTAATGGACTTGCATGGATTGGAAAAGGTTTAATTATGCAGGGTCATGAAAAAGTCAGGGACATCACCATGGTCTTTCTAGAATGCTTACAGTCAAATGGAAGGACGTCTATCCTTCCATCAGAAGAGGGTATCTCAGGGCAAAGTCATGATGAGGATTCGTATAGTTCTGTAATGAAACATGCAGCAGATGCCTTTCAAATTCTTATGGGGGACCATGAAGCTTGTTTGAGTCGAGAGTTTCATGCAGTAATAAGGCCTCTCTATAAGCAACGTTTCTTCTCAACTATGATGCCTATATTGCAGTCTTTGATGTTAAAATCAGACTCCTCATTCTCAAGGTATGAAGAATTTTCCTTCTTTATTAGTTTTGACCTAGTTTTGTATAATATTGTTGCATCAGGTTCTATTGATCATCTTATCAGATTGTGATGTTTATTTGAATGGTATGTACTGGGATATGAAAATAATAACAAATTGGTGAACCTGAATCTGGTTGTATTTGTGAATGATTATTTCTGATGCTTTAAAGGAATGAGATGCTTCAATTTATTTGGATTTTATTCTCTTATATCTGGTGTAGTTGGTCTTTTTCTTTCACATTGCTTAGTACTACTAGGTCTCTGATCTTGGTAATTTATCATATCTCATCATGATCTAATACAGTGTTTCTCTTCTATATTGTTAAAAGTACATTGGTCATTGACTCATTGCATATTTAGTGGTTATTAATTCGAGCAGGGTTTTTGTATGTGCTACCATATTCACACTTTTAGGATTCCCTCCAGCACCTTACCTGTATTGTTTTGTCTGAGACTTAAAACTTAGAAGAGGGTAATTCTTTCTCTGTCGCTACATGCCAACATTTCCCTTCATGACTCATCAAATTGAGTTTATCTTCTTCCTATTCTAATATATATCCATTCTTCCTTTCTTGGATTATGTGTATAATGTGATATCTAATGAATTTGTGGAGGTAAAGCTGGACAATATAGTATTAAAACTTACACGTAGATTGGTTGAAATTTATTTTGTATCTTGTGCTAGAATTGAGAAGACTTGTAAGAATTGTTATTGATTTCTCACACAAGCTGTTATATGGTTTCAGACCTTTGTTGTTCCGGGTGTTTGCACATATTATAATCAATACTCCATTGATGGTTGTACTGAGTGATTCCACGAAGGTAAGTGGTAAAATTTTTATTTATTGGTTTACTGGCAGAATTCAGAAACCATTTTTATTGTATTAAATCATTTTTACTTTTGCAGTTAATTCCAATGATACTGAATGGCTTATCCACCTTGAGCAATAATATTCTAGATAAAGATGTTTTGTATGGTCTCCTGCTTGTCTTATCTGGAATATTAATGGACAAAAATGGTGAGCCGAACTATCACTAGTTCTTTTGTTGCCTCTTACAACCTTGTAATTCTTGAATGCAGTTTGAGTAGATTCCTTAACAACTCAAAGATTTTAATTTGTCATTAAAAGAAAAACGACAGAGAATTTATATGTAGATTAATAGGTTTTTTCTTTTGGCAGAAGTATATTAATGGTTAAATAAGCATAAATTTGACAATTTATTTTGTAACTGTTGAAATAACATAACATTTGGTTGGACTCCTTGTCAGTCAACATTATTACTCCCAGTGTTCTATTTATTTGTCCATGTAACTAACTCTCAAATAACTTTGAACTTAGCTTTAGGTAATGCTTTTATATAACGTATGAATGGTAATTGTAAATTTTTTTTTTTTTTTTGTTTCAATATATAGTTCTTGTTGAGTTCTTTCATTTGCTAACAAAGTTTTCAATTGCCATTCATATTTCTATATAAAAGCATTACCAAAAGTCATGCAGAGTTAGTTGAGAGTTTGTTATATTATGATCAAACCGTTGGGCTATCTGTGCACTACAATAATATTATGATCTTCACTTACAGTACTCGTCACACTAGTGTAACTTTAGTGCACTATGTTTCTAAATGATGCTCATGCATGCAGGCCAAGAAACTGTATCAGATAGCGCGCACATCATCATCAATTGTCTTGTTGGGCTTATTGGTTACCCTCATATGATGGTAAAAATCTTCTCTTAATGATGACAGCATCCCTTGAAATGCATCATGCCATATCTTCTTTGAGAAAATGAAAATGAAAAGGTAGCATCCTGGTTGATTGTGAACTTCATGGTAGATTATAAGATGGTAGAACATATGATGTTTTGAAGCTTGTGCTTTTCTAGAAATAAATAATAAATGAAGGTTTGAGTTGCCTTGTAAATATATGTTGAGGCCTCTTAGGAGGCCACTTGGTCTAATATATTGAGCACTGCTTTACCCATCTTTACCCCATCAAATATGAAAATGTATACATTCAGTTCCCCTTTTCTTCAGGGCAGTAGTAGATCTAGTATCATTCTAAATCTGTAAAAAATAAATCCTAGCATGGGATGGGGCTTTGTTGTATCGTTATGAATCTTACCCAAAACTATTGCTGGCTGAACTGGGAGAAAAAGAAATACAAAAAAATAAAAAAATAAAAAAACAAAACAAAACAAAATAAAAAAGAAGGGAAAGGGCTCTTATCAAAACCTAGTTGGTGGAGTTAAAACTGCTAAATTTAACAAAATTAAATGCAGGGAAGCAGAAGTTAAGATCGAATATGCAAGAAAACCTTACAAGCTAATATATAACTGATACTGGTGATGTGACCATGGTATACTTGGTATATACTTCTAGAACTCTGATATAATTTAATTTCAAGTCATGTCAAGTAAGATGAATTCACAAAGTAAAAATAAAAAAATTCTCATGTCAAAAGTTTCCTCGTTAGTTTCCTAATGCATTAAAGCTTTGTGATCCATTATTGAAATTGTTCTGTTCTTGGCTGTTGATATTTTCAGCTTGTTCGAGAGACAGCTATCCAGTGTCTTCTTGCCCTCGCTGGGCTCCCCCGTACAAGGATATATCCAATGAGAGCACAGGTAGTTAACTACAGAATGGAACTTAGTTTATTTAACCCTTTTTTTTTCACTTGCAAATTTGTTTTTCATTATCTCGAAGCTACATACATTGTAGTTTTTAACCTTGAACTATAATTACCAGCTTACTCTCAAGATTCTATGCACTTTGCATGGCTCTATGCATATACATTTCCATCTATTCGTGTTTAATTTTTTATCTTCATTTTTACCAGGTACTACAGCCTATATCAAAGGCTCTTGATGATCCAAAGCGGGCTGTTCGGGAAGAAGCTGTCAGATGCAGGCAAGCATGGTCAGTACTGTCTATTTTCTTTCCCTTCATTGTGCAACCATTTGCATATTTTTTTACATAATTTTGAATTTCAAAAGTTTTGACATTGTTTACTTATAAATAAATTCCAAAACAGGGCATCCATTGCATAGAGGGAGGTCTTGATTCCCAACACCGTGAGTTTTGCTTCGACATCTTGGTGTCTAAAAAGTGAATATAGTGACATGTCCTGGCCCTCATTTAGCTTGTTAACTGTAAAAAGTATTTTTCTTGAATATATTGTCTTTCAGTTCCAATGTAAAGTGTAACAGACAGAAGCTCAGGGTATGAAGTTCTTGACGTTTCTGCAACCCCTACCCTCTTCTTGCTTTGATCCATCTTTGCATGTGTATAAAAACACCTTAAATATAAGAAACTTCTTTAGGAATCTCGAAATAGTTAAGTTTTAATGTTGTTGATTTTTAACTAACATTTGAGATAAATGAGGAATATTTATTCTTTCAATTTTTAAGGTAATGGGTATTTCTTGATCATTGGCTAATGTAATAGGAAAAGTAGACATCACATACTAATTTTCCTAGAAGTTAATTAAGAAAGCTTCTGACCTTTTTTGGGTCAAATTGCACCAAACCTGCAAGAATTGTGTTTCCCAATTGGGAAAATTCGTTACGACTCTCCTATGCTTAGTCCAATTAAGATTGATAATCATTTTAATTGCCACATTTTCTTATTTAAATGGTAACTAGTCTTTCATCTTTTAGCATTATTTATCCAAAGATGATCTTAAATTTTACATGTAATAAGAATATGATAACTAACACAAATTACAAATATTGTTACTTTTGCATGTATATACACCCAAAGTATTAATTTACTTGAATTCAAGAAAGCGTCAAATTTGAAAATTTTAATTCTAATAAGAAGAAAAATCTGTGTTTTACTGTTTTTAATTTTCTTGATTTTATTTTATTTTTATAGTTTGACTGAAAAATAACCATTACTACTAACCAAATATCTCATAAAGGTGAGTTTAGTTGATGAAATAAGTACTTTATGATCAAAACATATTTATATATTTTAGGTAAATTAGTTAGATAATCATAATAAAAGGGATTGCTTGGGGCCACTAAGTTAAGATTTCAACTCCCACCTAGCGCTTGCAAAAAACTCCCTCCCCTAAAACTATTCTCATGTAAAAAAAAAAGGAAAGAAAGAAAGAGGAAAACACCAAAATCAATTGACCACATTTCCAAGTGCTGGCCATAGAATTTACAACTTACCGTAAGTTATGGCATTGAAAGACTGCAAATCCAATTAGAAAGCATCACATTTTAATGTGTAAATCCTTTACAAACAGAGCCAGAGTCAGGAATTTTAGTTAGGGGTCGGCTTTTCAAGTCTTAAAATAATATATTGTAATTTTAAAAACTTACTTGTATATCATATATTAAAATAATATATAACGAGTTTTCATATCACAAAATTTATTTATAATATTGTTTACATTAAATGACTGAACTATTTTTTTTTTCATATAAACAATCAAAGAGTTTGAGAGAAATTTATCTTCCATTTTGTTGCGAAGTTTCATTTTCACAATTTTCATGATAAAAAATACTTTTTTTGTTATTGCTATAGAAACTGAAAGAGTAAGCATCAAAGTAATTAATTTGTAAATGAGACTATAAACCTCTGATTTTCTTATTTCCACAAGCCATTAATACAATTCAAAAATACGACAACATTCTATCTCTTTACCTTATGACTTTCTACAAGCAAACAAATTTTTTTTCCTTTTTTACAAGCTAATTACATTTTATATGAGTTTATCTTTCTTTTATACTAATTTATATTTATATTGCTTTTCTCTGTATGACTATATTTAAGGTTTTTCCTTTTATTGAATTCATGTATGTTCCCTTTGTGGATTTGTACTTTCTTTCTTTTTTCAATTTTTTTACTCCGATCCAATTTTATTCCATATAACTTCAATATTACCATAATATTCAATTTTATTTGTAATCTTAACAACTTTAAATCCTAAAAAGAAATTATACAATTTTTTGTGATAATAGAAAATTAATAAGTTTCATTATTTAAATATTACTCCCTCTATACTAGAATAATAGATTTTTTTGTTTTATCTTCAAATGAAAGATTTGAAAACAATTTTTATCTTTACGTATTTTGTACTTAAAAAATAACTAAGAATGAATATTTACTTCCATTAGAAAATAAATAATTAAAGTTAAAAGATAATTATAGGGTTAAAGTAAAAAAAAAACTATTTATCTTCCTTAAAATAAAAAAATAACTATTATTTTGAGATAAATTCTAAATAAAAAATATTAATTATTCTGGGATAGAGAGAGAGTATACTAATTTTTTTTGTTAGAACATATCTACTAACAAATATAAAATAAAAAAAAAACTTACAAAACTTTAAAGTTGAAACCCAATGTGACAATATATGATTCATATAAAAAAAATAGTATTGTTTTTAATCTTTATCAAGTTAGTGGTCCTTTTGGTGGTTCCTTAATTTGTCTTCAAGCTTTCAACGAGGAGAGCAATATTGCAGTGGCTTGCATCAAGCCGTTGCTGGAGTCTTTTTTTTTTTTTTTTTTAAAGTTGATTAGTTAAAAGAGATTGACACTAGAACAGTAAGGCTGGATACTAGAGAAATGACATAGAAGACACAAGAACTATTTTTTTTTCTTTTTCTACAAAATTCAGTTGTGGTCCTTGAGATGAGTGGGTTTTAAATAATAATTAATTAAATTGTTAAAATGAATAATTAATTATATAGATTATATTTGGACTCTTAAAATGCCCTATTATTATTGGATCTTTTTTTATTTTATGTATTTTAACAATTAAAAATATAATATTTAAAATTTTAATAATAATAATTAATTAATTAATTATATATATAATTTTTTTTTCAAATACCAGGGGAGCGACCGTCCCTGGTCTCCACGTGGCTCCGCCACTGTTTACAAAACTCAACATTACAACAAAATTGAGTGAATATATTTTTAAAGAAGTACGAGAAACATGGGCTGTGATTATGGGAAAACATATTATTGTTAACCTCAAATAATTTGGCTAATATTTTATTAATTTTTATATATAAAGATTAAAAATTAAATCTAACATATATGATTAAAAATATAAATAATTTTATTATTAAATTATCAGATCAATGATTATATTTTATTAGTTTATAACGTTTTTTCCTTTAAATAATTAATTATAATATCTAAAATATTTACTTACATATTTAAAAATATTTATTTATAAATTAATTTTAATAAAATAAATATTAATTATTTTGTTAATTATTAACCATTCTTAATAACCGAACTAATAAAATATCAACCAAAATTACATGGCCTCAACGAAAATACGTGTAGCTATAACATGTGATAAATTTGGTCTAAAAATGGTGAGAAGAGCAGTAGCAAAACTCACCCATTCTAATTTTTTTGTTTTCCAAAATATGACTTATTAGGTCAAGTCCAACCAATTTATACCACTACTTCATTTACCTTTTTTTTTTCTCTCCACGTTATGTGAAAAAAAAAGAAAAGCTTCTATATATTATCCACACTCACATACTATTCTTTTTCTCTAAAAAGATTGAAAATAGCACTACCCATAAAGGATAGCAAAGCACAAAGAAGGTTATATATCAATCACTAATAAAATTATTTCACTGTAGTCTCCAGATATAAATCCTAGCTAGTAACTGCAAAAGAGCTACAAAAACTTGGGAGGATTTCTGCATGCACCACTCAATCAGACAACTCGTCTTCACCACCACTGTACTGATCGATATCTTGGTGATGTGAAAGCCTGTGTGATCTGCCAATGCCATCTTCAGCATCTAACCTTCCTGCCCTTGAGTTAGACACACCACCCCTTGAGTTGGAGTAAACCTGTAGGGCAGACCAAGAAACAATATTATCTCAAAAGGTTAGAACTAAGGCTATCCCAAGACAATGTTAACTTGGTTCATGTCTTCAGGACCATACCCCTTGATCCCTTGGTTCTATGACACTAACATCTGATCTCTTCCTAACCGTAATACTGGAAGGTATAGGAAAATGTTCAATCTCATCACCAGACCTTCCTTCTCTGGCCCTCTTTTTTCTTAAATTAAGCTTCTGGGGAAGAGGCTGCAACACAGAGAAAATAAGCCCAAAGAGTAAGACAAATTGTGCCCCAGCACGTAATGTAGAACAGGAAAATTCTGATTAACAGTACCACATAGCGAGCTACTCTCTCTCCGTCATCAAAGGAAACAAGAAAGTTATTTGGGTCATCTGCATCATCACCTCGTACCTGTAGAGGTGTCAAAGGCAAAGATTTCACTAACCAATTATGCATTAACTTGGATGTAACAGTACAAAGATCTCCGCACATACATCCCAATGGTACTCGCGGATCCAAGAATATGAAACATCTTCATCTTCATCATAGATGTCTTTAGATTCCTGTCACCATTACAGCATGAACATTAGAATGAAAATAAATATGAAATTGGTCACATCCGTTAGAAATAACATGATGAAATTGGTGGTCTACAAACTGCAATGTTGATAGGTATATAAAATACTCTCTAAGGTTATCCAGATCATTTCTACCTCATCCACAGAGGGGACCATGTATGCCAAAAATCTCTCTGGATTAGCTTGATCAGAGCCAATTGCAGCATAGCTTTTCAATACAGCCTGAAATAAAATATGAAAAATGAGATGCACATACAATGTATCAACCGATTATTCGTCCCACAACCCCTTCCCAGCTTTCAGATAGTTTTTTTCTCAACCATATTATAATTTCTAAGTGGCCAAGGCAGTGAATATGACAGTGCTGGCAGTGAAAATTTAAAAGCAATTTTGTTGACACCAACCAGGGCTATTATCAATAAAAATATTTGCAGCTGCCTACAAACATGATGGTCGGATAGTGCAAGTAAATCCACAGTAAATCAACAAGAAATAGGGTTTTGAAAAACAGATCCTACTTGTAGAGAAACTCCAGGTATCAGCTTATAGTTTATTTTATTGCAGCATGTAATTTGCACTTCACTACCAGATTTATAGGATTTCACTTATGCAGAATCCTAGATATCAGGGTACAAAGTAATTGACATGTTCACCTCAGGTAACTACTGAATTATATGACTAGAAATACACTACAGATATCTTGCATGGATGAACATTAAATGGTTTCTTGCACCTCACCTTTGCTTCATGCTTATCACGAGTAGAACTGTCCAGCTTACCATAGATTTCTGAATCAGCAGTTGGAGCATTATCAAAGGAGACTAACACAAATTGATCATTTTCCCTGTAAACAGCACCACAGGCAACTGACATGAATTTGGTGACCAGAAATGCAATCATCAAGAGCTAATTTCAAAAGTTTTATCATTTAATCAGACATTTCATTCAGGGTGTAAACTAGTGCAAAAAGTTCTTGGGGTCTTGGCAAGGCACAAGGGGCAGGTACATGCCTGACAAATCACAAGGTTTAAGGTGCAAATTTACAAGTACATATAGATTAAAATAAGAGTAGGAAATTAAGTCAAAGCTTCAAGTAAATTAACAAATATATGTCCTTGTCAAGACCAATAAGTATAAAAATGCAATGCGAACTCAAGAATAAAAGAAAGATTAATGCTGCACAACTCCATATTGGTTGCAACACAAAAGCAAGAAGAAAGTAAAACCAGAAGAATAAATTCCATACCGATCAAAATCTGGAAATAAAGGCATAACTTCAACAGGCTTTAAATTTTTATTGGTTGCATGAATAGGAGGCAACTTGGAAGCTTCAAATGATGCCTCGATTGCTTTTATTTGTCTTTCCCTGATAAAGCAGTCAATATTTTCCAGTAAGTGAAAATAGACTACTGTGATAATCAGTTTGTTTCCATTACAAAATTTCATTTCACATGGACAGGTTGAATAGAACAAACCTGTTATTAAGGTTCTCCAAAATGTTCTTTCCTACTTTCATTTCGCGCAATTCTTTTGCTTGCTTTTCAGTCAGAGACTGTAATGGACAATGTATTTTACCATCAATATTTGCAACGAAATATCCAACACAAATACCATGCTTAACAATTACCTGTTTTGCTGATTCCATACTAAGTGGAGATATATACTGTGTCTTGACCAGCCAAGAAACACCTTTATCAGTAGGCCTTTCTTTTCTTCTTATACCATCTTTCTTTACAGGTGTAACAGCTTCATCATCACGCAAGAGTTCTTCATCTTCTGGGGCAAGAGGCGGTCTAACAATTGGTGGACTAATAAAAATAGCAGAAAATAGGTAATTGGAATTTATTTATTTATGTTCAAAACAACTGAATCCTAAGAAAGACTCTGAAGCAGTTGAGGGATGTTTACTTGTAAACACTGAGATCAAGCAGGTCAAGAGGTATTCCAAGATCAGGCTCAACAAAAAGTTGGGGCTTGTACATTTTCTCCAGAGATGTGATAGTGTATTTTGTAAATCTGCAAAAACACAGTTCAGAATTTACCATTAAACTCTTAAAACTAGATCTAATCAAGAAAATATCAATCCAACACAAAAGGAAGATAATTCAGCACAAAAGGTTTCAAACAAAACATTAACAGTTCAAATTATCAGATGTTCAATAGTACATTTCCCCAAAAAATGCTTACTAATGTCTTATCAGGAAAAACTCCAAATAGATCAAGCAGACCAATGCACAACCCCCCACAAACTAAATGTATCTAGGAAGTCATGTAGCAAGCAGTAATTTTCAGAACATTCCATAATAAGTGCAGTTACATAATAATCTCTCTTCTGAGCAGTAAAAACTAATACATACCGATCTTTATCTTTCTTCAATGCCATGAGCTTTGGTTGTGCACTTGGATCGGGAAGTTCATTCCGGAACCTAAGGAGCATCAGAGTGCATCAGCAATAATTGTTAACAATGTAAAAACTGGCTGCACTGGAGTATGCTAACTAAAACATGCTTGCCTAAATGACGGGTCATGTGCAAAACAAAGAGTATAGGAATAAGTAAAATAAATATATTACAGCAACTTGCAAGAAGAAAATGAAAAATCAAGTAAATGTTCCACAATCAAGAAACTACCAGAAACGCATACAAAAGAGACAACAGAGAGACACTTTTAAGGAAGTTACTCCTTTCCACAGATAACTTAAACTAAAATATTCATTATATAAAGTAATGTAGGAATCATTGCAAAAAGACCAGGGGCTGAGGCTGTACAGCATGTAACTGCTTTTAAAGAACGAACAACCCAGCAACTTAAAACATAAGAGAAAAATGCTTGCAACATAATGGTTGAGGCATTGCCAAGTAAGTAGCCAAACCCTTCTGCAAAGAGGAGGGCCCAATTTCAAAATACCCCTCCAAAAAACTAAACAGAAAAGGGGGTTGGGTGGTTCCACTGCAAAACTCATCAAAGCGAACATAATCTTGATCTTCAGTTTGGCTTCATTTTAATCAGCACAAACTTATATTTAAAAATTGTGCATTTAAATGGGAAACAGTATTTCAACATACTCACTTCAACTTGCACAAGAATGTAGTTGGCTTCTTTAACCTATTCTCGATTCTCTCGCTACTCAAAAGTGGCGTTGCCCTCCTATCCCCCATTCGCGACCCAACTATGGACCCGTGGCCCTTCCCAGAAGATGTCACCTGTGTTTTCTGTAACACTGAGTTTTGTGATTCTTTCATCTGCTGCCTGTTCTTCTCCTCTTGCCTTTGCTTCTCAAACTCCCTCTTCTTCCTCAACCTCCTCTCTTCTTCTGTTTCCACTCTTCCCACATGCTCAGTTGGCTTCTTCCCTGGGGGAAATGGTGGCTTCTGCTGCTTAGCTGCAGCACCATGATTCGAATGTCCATGCTCTCGCCTCCCAGACCCTGACACCCCCTTGTTGCGCTCACTCATTCCCTTTTCTCCACCACTATCCTTAGGAGGCGGTGGTGGGGGAGAACTTGGTGGAGGTGGTGGTGGGATCACAGAACCAGGGGGAGGAGAAGAGGGAGGAGGTGGGGGAGGAGGTGGCTGCATTGATTGATTTCCATATTGTGATGTATACTGTGAAGAAGGATAGAACATAGGTGGCTGTGAACTCATCTGATTCAGAGGAGGAGGTGGTGGTGGTGGATAGGACGAGTCCGGAGGTGGAGGAGGCGGTGGATAAGAATACTGTTGCTGAGGAGGCGGAGGCGGAGGCGGGTGTTGTTGGGGCCTCGAAGGAGGGTAATGCTGGTAATTCGAATTGGGGTTCATCTGGTGGGGGAATGAAGAGTTTGGCGGATAATGTTGCTGTTGTGGTGGGAGAGGATTCTGATTTGGCGGTGGCGGTGGAGGAGGAAAGGAGGATTGTGGAGGAAACGGCCTATATGAGGCCATTTGTTTACAAGCGAAAAAACCCTAGAAGAGAAAAAAAAAAAAACACCAGTTTCAAGTTCTGGGTTTTCTCGGTATCCAAGCAAACACCAACCCAATTGAAGAATTCAAAAAATTTTCTGGGAAAAATGATAAAAAAACAAAAACAAAAACAAAAAAACAAAAAGTTAGTGCCTTGTAGCAAAGAGAAATCTATTCAAATTCAACCCCAGAGAACCCCATAACAGCGACTGAATTCCCAAATCCCGAAACCCTAAAGAGAAGAAAGAGACAGTCAATTGAATTCCCAAATCTAAACGTAAATTCAGCCTAATCCCCCAAAGATAACAGAGCCGGAACTCACCTTGAAATTATTCTGGGAAAAAATCTTCGACAGAATGTGGTGTGGCCGCAGCAGGCAAATTCTTCACTGGGATTTAAACAGTTGTAGAAAAGAGAAAGGAAAAACTAGTTCTAAAGACGGTAGATTAGCACACAGAGGCTGAGGAGTGTAAAATACAGAGAGAGACGGTGACCAGAGAAAGCAGGTCGGGAGAGGGAATTAGGAGAAAGGAGAAGAGATGACGTTGCTGACGTTAGTCGGTCAGCCACAAGATTTATACTTAACCTTCGGTGCAAACTATGGTAATGTTCTTGGATGTCATTGACTCATTGGGTAATGTGTTTAGTTGTCACCAGGATTTTTCTCTTCCTTAATTGGAGAAAATATTAAGATAAGAATAAAATTCGTATCCTTATTTAAATTTGTTGTTTTAGTTCGGGTAGATTTTGATATTAAGAATTTTTTTTTATTTTTTCTTACTTTATT